CGAGTGCGCGCGCGCGTGCGCGTGCGCGTGCGAGTGCGAGTGCGAGTGCGAGCACGAGTGCGAGCGCGAGTGCGAGTGCGAGTGCGAGTGCGTGTGCGTGTGCGTGTGCGTGTGCGTGTGCGTGTGCGTGTGCGTGTGCGTGTGCGTGTGCGTGTGCGTGTGCGTGTGCGTGTGCGTGTGCGTGTGCGTGTGCGTGTGCGTGTGCGTGTGCGTGTGCGTGTGCGTGTGCGTGTGCGTGTGCGTGTGCGTGTGCGTGTGCGTGTGCGTGTGCGTGTGCGTGTGCGGTGCGTGTGCGTGTGCGTGTGCGTGTGCGTGTGCGTGTGCGTGTGCGTGTGCGTGTGCGTGTGCGTGTGCGTGTGCGTGTGCGTGTGCGTGTGCGTGTGCGTGTGCGTGTGCGTGTGCGTGTGCGTGTGCGTGTGCGTGTGCGTGTGCGTGTGCGTGTGCGTGTGCGTGTGCGTGTGCGTGTGCGCGTGCGTGTGTGTGTGTGTGCGCGTGTGTGTGTTTGGGCCCGCGCAGGGCCGCACTCCGCCGGACCCCCCAGGAGCACGCGAACATGCACTTCGCAGCAAGCAAGCAAGACCTTGGCAACTGGAGTCTGTCACTGTCTGGCCTCTGCATCGTGAGACCTCAAGCCTGACAAGCGCTGCTGGTTGGCTCATTGCGCATCTCGAGCAAGCCTGCGGGATTTCATAGCCCATCGCGGACCTTCAAAGCCCGCTTTAGCACGAAGGCGCACCACGCTGCATTCGACACTCTGTGAGCTGAGGCTTAGCGCACTCGGCCCATCACCTCAACCTCAGGGCAGAAGGGTGCGGAGGGAGGCCCCAGGGAACTAGGGCTCCGAAAGCAAGCGAAACAAGAGAAACACACCAGAGCGGGAGCCAACTCCGCCGCTGATCTGAAGTTTGGGTGCGCCTTCGTGCTTTTGCGATCCCCCCCCGCCCACCCGCTCACTCCCTCCACCCACGAAGATCACGAAACGCATTCTACTGCATCTGCTGCCTCCGCTGGATCGGGAAACTTTGCTGCCTCTGCGGTTGGCGAAGCAGTCGGTGAGCACTCATCTCTCACCGCTTTCTCTCTCCGTCGGCGTGAGAACACTGTCTTCCCCTCCCCGCAGCCCGAGGGGCTCCCCGAACCAGGGGGGCGGGAGAGGAAAGAGAACAAGAAAAGGCGAGAGAACTCCAAGCCACAGACGGCCCAAAGACAACGACTGCCCAGAACACCAGAGACGGCCGTCCTCATCTGAAATACTGGCGTGAGCCATTTAGAAGGCATCGGCTCCGCCTCACTTCGTCTGGCGCATGAGGTCTCTCAGCAATTGCCTGGCCCTCTCGCTTCCCGCCTGCGCCATGTTGCGAAGCCCGTCTATATCGATTGCTCCTGCACTGAGGCCTGAACTGCGCGCTCCAGAGCTCCCGGTGGTGGACTGCCGATCTTCACCACTCCGCCGCTGGCCACCAGTGCTTTGATAATGTGCAGCCGAATCTCTGCGATGGTGGCGTTCGGCATCTCGGTCTGGTCGCCCGTCTTGCCCCTGTATCGCTGAATCAACTGTGGCCTGTGGAACGGACTGATCGCGATCGGGCTCAGCATCACGTGAATCTTGGCCTGGTCCGCCTTCTGATTGTCTTCGTTGTAGGTCTTCTTGAGGCGGAAGTAGCGGACAAGATCGTTGGGCTCCTCGCGATCCATGCTCGTCATAAGCTTGGCGAATGGCTCGAGGATCGCCTTGGCATCGTCTGACAAGCCCTGCATCTTCACGAGCGTGGGAATAATACACCCGAAGATGTGCAGGTGAAGTGGTCCCAAGTCCTTGCGCTTTTCTTCGGTGCTCAGTCGGTGGCACTCCTGCCCCATGCGCGTGCCCTCGGACGCCGCCGCGTGAGCCATCGGGACTATGAGGCAGTACCGCAGCGCTCCCACGAGGATCCTCAGCGTCTGTGTGTTGTTGAGCGTGAGCTTCTGCAGCGTGAAAATCTTCTCGTTCGTGGTCGCATCCACATCTTCGCCTGAGCCAGCTCCAGCCCCCTTGCCGCGGGCACGCTTGAGCTGCCTGCCCCCGCGCCGCGGCCCTCCTCCCGCGTTGGCTCCTTGAGACCCCTGGGCGGGCAGTCCGATCATCCACGACATCGCGTACTGGGCCTGCGGCGTGCTGCTGGACGTGATCGAGATGGGCTGTGAGCTCGGTGCTGGAATGACTACGCAACTCGCATGAGTAATTGGCCGCCTCGATCGGCTGAAATTCGAACGAAACGGCTCTGGTCGGGCAGCGAAGGGGACTAGCTCGAGACATGGCCCACACATGTCTGATGCAACTGGCCCGAGACGCAACTATCCTCCGACACCAGGGACACACGTTCGTCGTCGTGAGCATGGAGTAAAGCTCTCTCAGTTTGTGCGTCTTGATCAGGTGGGCCGCCAGGGCCCTCATCGTCGTGAACACGCTCCCGCAGACATGGCCTTCAGGTGTTTCGTGCGTGCATATGAACTCGTTCGCGTCCTCCCCCCCCTCCATGTACTCCACTCCTTTGTATTTGACCTCCTTCTCCTCCGCCCCGTAGTGCCTGTCAAACAAGTGCCTGATGTGCTGTAGCCATTTCCCGTCGAACACCTTCCGAAACTCCTCCTTCCTGAAGAAATCTAACAACCCGTCCCTCGAGTTCCAAGCCTGAGCGAACCTAGAAGCAGGATCGACCTTCGCGAAAATCTCGAGGTCGGAGTACACTTGTCGGGCCCACGGGGTGCTGTGTTCATTGGGGTCCCCATTCATTCCCATGCGAGGCCTATCTACTGCGAGATCCAGTCGAGTGCTTCCAAAAATGCCTGTCAGAACTTGGGAGTGTCTTTGGGGATGTCGTGCCATTTTTTGGTACCACCTGATCCGCTGGATCCTGAGCTCGACCACTGTCCGCGACAACTTGTGGTGCGCGAACACTTGCGCGTAAGTCTCCCCGCTTACCTTCCCGTCTATCTCCTCTGTGGTCCCTCTGCTGAGCACGCGCAAGAAACGGAGAAACACCGCGTCGAGCTTGTCTGTGAAGCTGCGTGGCGGTACGAAGCCTGTAAGCCCCGATAGTCCTGCGCTCTGCACGTACGCAATGAAAAGAAGTATCCTCATCCTGGGCGGCAGCGGTTCTGCCCACAGCTTACCCAGTGATCTCCATCCTGCTCGAGCGGCACGGATGCGCCCTCGAAGCTCTGCACGCAAACTGCCGTCAAACATGAGGAGCGGTCCTAGTACACGTGCCTCTCGGACGATACTGCCTGACACCGAGCGCGATGCTGCAAGCGTCTTGACTGCTGCGAACGACCCCTTGCCTATGATGTGCGTGATGTGATTCGTTTTGCTTTCGTTGAGTGCGTGCCCCGTCGCCCCGATGCATGCGCTCAGCTTGCCTGTTGCCGTGTTTAGCTGAAGCTCCATTGCACGTGGTGACGCATCGTGTGCATGTATGTGTACTCTGGATATGTCATCTACGTACAGCCCGATTCCGATGTCCTCCATCTGTCCTCCAGTCTCCGTCTCCTCCTCCTCCTCCAGTATGCTGTCGCACTGCAACCAAGTATGCGTGTGATCGTGCTCTCCCAGTTGCTGATTCCATAATTGCACTTGCGGCGTGTATACTGCAATAAAGTCCCCTGCTGCCATGGCGTGTCCCATAGTCGTGCCCCTTGCTGGTTTCATGTCTAAATCGCCATCGATGCCGTGGGCGTGCACAACTAAATCGTCGACGGCGTGCTTGCACAGTTCGATGTTGGGCTCGTAGTGTTGCGCGCTGTGCAGTGCCCTCAAGTGCCCCCTGTCCGTGCTCGCGAACGCGTTCGTGCCGTCGTAGTTGCTCAACGTGCGACTCAGCTTCAGATCTCTGCAGCGCCACATCGCGCTGCTCAAGGCGAGAATGGCCCCCTCTCTCCTCCGACCAGGTATGCCTCCGTGAGCGAAAGACGGAAACTTCGGAGGCACCCTGAGCCTGCGCGCGAGTTGGCCGAACCAGCTCATGCTGCAGGAATCGAAGCAGTGCAGGAGCCGTTGCCCCCTGATACCTATCACCCCGCTGTCCTTGCTGTGTGCAAACATCTGCGAGCGGAGGAAGCTGAGTGGAACCTGGTCTGTCTCTCTGACGAGTGTAACGAACTGCTGATACTTGTGCAGAAATGCCGTCGGCGTGATGTCAACCTCCCAGCCGTTGCCATTGGGGTCCTCGGCGCTGTGGAACTCGGGAGAAAGCAACTGCAGCAGCGCCTCCGCGTGCACTCCCCACCTCGGGGTTGCTCTGCGCTTGGGGGCCTTCTTGAGGTAGCGGATCTGGCCCTCGAAGTCAGCCTGTGCGAGCTGGATGGCGCGATCCCGCTCGAGAACTTTGGGAAGGAACTGCACGTCGTCGAGCGCATCGTCCCAGTTGATGGAGTTCGCTTGCAAGCCACCCTGGTGTGGTTGTAGCTGTAGTCCGTCGCGCCATTCTTCTACTGTCATGTTCCGCCGCACTGCGAAGATGTAGCGCTTCTTGGGCCCTCGGCCTGTGGATGTGAGGCTGTTCTTGATCTTGTGCATCTGCGCCCACTGCTGGTTCCTCCAAACCTGCGCCAGTTCGTGAAGTAAAGCTTGTCGCGTGTCGGCCGTCTGCTGCTTCCGAAGATTCTGCAGGCGCCTCGTGATCTGGTGGAGCTGTTGCTGGACTCGCTCGAACTCCTCCTCATTCTTGTTAGCTCCCTCGGCTCTCATCCAGCCTCTGCGTCTGATCAGGTCCACGCGCTGTCTCCTGTACGTCTCGTACTCTGCCGTGCGACGAGGGCCAGGAGGAAAGACTTCTTCCAGAGCCCGCCTGACCGCACCTCCAATGTGGTCCCAGACCGCCTGCACGTTGTTGCTCTGCATGGCCGCTTTGTAGCTGTCGTCGTCATTCTCCAGGTGTCTCGTAACCGACTCGAAGTACTGCTGGCGGCGGTTCCCTGTGGTTTGAGCCTGCATCAAGTGGTCCCTGTGAGCTGGCGGCGAGGGCGCGTGCACACTGTATTTCCTCTTGGGGAGCACCATCTCCACGTAAACGGGAACATGATCCTCGAGGGTCGCGCTGGGCTGCAGTTGGAGTTTGCGCCCCAGTCGGATCAGCGTGTTCGCCTTCTGGATGCTAGCGAGCGCCGGTGTGGGGCATATGAAATGTTCGATCTTGGATGAAGCGCCCCTCTGGAAGTAGGTAGGTCCCGTAGTCCAGTGAGTCGTAGCTACACTCATGTGCTGCTCTGCTGCAAACTGTCGGATCTGCATGGACACGTTGCTCTCGTGCACGGGCTCACAGACTCCGATGTGGCCATCTTCTTTGATGTAGGCTGTGCCCGTAACGTCCCGTCGGATGCCAAACCCGGAATTGAAGTCGCCTGCGATGATTGGGAGCGTGTGATGGCCGTCCTTGCCGATCATCTGAGTGATCCATTGAAGCATTATTTTTGCGGTTTCTCTGAGAACTGTCGGTGTCGTTCCTTTCGGCGGAAAATAAACTGGGTATACACTAATTGACTGTCCATGTGCCCGTACTGAGGAGTGATAGTGCTGATCCAAATAAGATCGTACACCAAGGGACCTCCTAGGAGCTCCCCAAACGGGCGACGGGTGCTCAGTTCGCAGCTGTCGCGATCGGTGCCCGTATACAAGAGTGGCCACCGTTGCGCCGTTGGCACCACCCTGGGCAGGCGAAGTCTCGTGCGGGTCCCCGTGGAACCGCCCTCTGCACGGTCTCCCACAGCCTGTTGGGAGCTCACGAGGGTGCCGACAATCGAACAATTGGCACCACCCGGGGAAGGCGAGGTGTCGCTTGGATGCCCCCAACACAGCCCTCCACAGGCCCCCTCCCAGGAGATCACGACAGTGGTAGCGACAGCTGCGCAGACAGCACCGCCCAGGCAAGGCGAGGCGTGAGAATGGCGAGGGGCAAGAGGCGGGAGGCAAGAGACCGTAAGGAGGTTCGGGGGCAAGAGGATGGGGAGCGGCAGGGGACGGGAGAGGGCGGGAGGAAAAGGAGAAGAGGAAGGGGAAGCAGTGTTTTCGACTCAGAAGAAGGAGCCAACCAAGGAGGGTGGAAAAGAAGAAAGGCAGAACGGGGGAGGAGGGAGGCGGGAAGAACACCGGACACCGTGTGCTCTGCACGGAATGACTACCCACTGAACAATGAAAGAGAGCACAGAGTCCAGCAATTGAATCCAAGTCAAACAGCCCAATATGGTATTACCCAAAGGGGCTTGTTTTTTGGATCTCGCCCACACATTGAATATCCTCTCACATACGGTCCAATACATGGGGCCAACCTATACGGCCCAAGGTCCACAAGTAACAAGGCTCGCCCCATTGGTTTACGAAAGACACAAACTGGTTCCTGAGATTATATAGTGGATGCTTTTTCCTGAGAAATCTCGATGGACTCCTGAGGGAATCGTGAGATCCCCTCAAGGACTAATAAGGGAGTCCTGAACTCCAAGCATTCACAGTGAAGTACCAATGACATCCCGAATAATCCTACCGTCGTCAAGGAACCTGGGGGAATGTAGGATGATCATGAGGAATCCTGGGAAACCCTGTGAAAGCCGAACGGAATCCTGAAGATGTCCTCAAGGAATCCTGGGGCAACACTCAACGAATCATGAGGGGTTCTTGAAAGAATAACGATGTAACCCTGAGAGAATCCCCACGAACCTTGAGGAATCCCGAGGAAATTCCGGAAGAATCCAGAGTGGAACCCGGACGAGATCCTGAACAAATCCCGACAGGCCTGGCGAATGCTTTCGAAATATGTTTGGGCCTATCGGAAGCACCTGCCAAGGAACACTGGGAGAATCCTTCGGGAATCCAGAGGAATCCAACGGGAGTCCTGAGGGATCCAGCGGGAAGCCTCAGGGATCCTGAGGAATCACGAGGGTGACGTTGAGTTCCACGGTGCTCTGAGGAGCCCCGCTGGCATCCTGATGGCTGTGTGCGTGGGGGGGGAAGGGAACTTTGAATCAAAGAAGTGATCAAACATCCAAAAAGGTTTCTGGACGGATCGTGGAGGTGTCTGTAGGACTCCCTGCAAACTCGCGCGGGGATCTGGAGGAAGCTCTGGGGGAAGCGAGGGAAGCATGCAGAACCCCTGAGGACATTTGAAGGATAGCAGAGAGGAATCCTGTGGGAATCCGTAGAGCTCGAGAGAAGTTCGGGGGGATTTGAGGAACTACAGTGGGGGCGCGCAGCAAAAAAACATTGTTCTTTTGTCAAGGTACCCTGGATTTCTTCGCTCCGCGCGCTGCGCGGTGCCTCCCGCGGCCGTCAAAGAAGCTGCCGCGTTCAGGGTGCTCCGGGTTGCCCCTCAGGTGCACCTCGAGCGCGGGTTTTCAGGGATTGGTTTCTCGCGAGGGTTCCTTGCGACCGCGCCCGCACTGTATGGGGAACTTGAGGAGCCCGACAAGCATGTGCCGTGGAAGTGTGTAGCGTTAGGATTCCCACAGAGATGCCCGGTGGTCAGTCAGGTTCCTTGGGCTTGCTGTGGGTCGCGTCTGGCACCCAGAGCGTGCATCACATCATCGTATGTGGGTGTTGCTTATGGGTTCAGTGCGGGCCCAAGCATCGAGTTTAAAATGTTCAACTCAATGTATCTCTTGTGTCAATGGCATCTGCCTGTGACTCAGAACAAAAAGAAAACGTGCACCAAGAAACGCGCTTCTCCATAAGATCACCCAATGTAAAACAAAAATGGTGTCTGCTGCTGCCTTATCTGGGTGTATCCTGATCGTAGCCCCTTGTGACTTCGCACGTGAAACATCAGAAATACGTTTGCCTCGGCGCCGTCTGTTTCAAATGCGCAGTCGTGTTTCTCCGGGGCTGGAACACACCCAAGCAGGAGATACTCTGGTACATAGTCCATTTCTATTAGGGCCTGGGCTGCATGGCACTCCAAGGATGTAGTCATGGGACGATTTTCCCACCACCACTACACTAGGTAGGAGACGGAGGAGGAGGAGGAGGTGGCGGAGGACGAGGAAGACCTTCCCATCCTCCCTTCTCCCCTGTCATACATATGTTATTGGTGGAAAATTGGCCCATCATGTAGGGGGAGACTGTGATCGACGGCTCAGTCTGGGGGGGAGCAGGGGATGAGGCTGCAGCCCTGCAAACAGAAAGACTGGCGAGTGTTCCAACAGAACTGACTATCAACCATCGCCTCCTGCCACCGCACTCGGCGACCATCACTTGCTGCTCGCCGTGAATCGCGCGCTTGAAAAAAAACTTGTGCCTGGCCCTGCTGCAACAAAGTCTTGAGCCAAGGTTACGGAATATGCCAGCGTCAAAGGTCATGGTGCGACAATAGCGAATGGCTGTGCGAAGCTCCACCCTGCTGACTTGCAGATGCACGACATCGATTAGGTGTGTTAAGATCTACAGGTAGGGCACGGGCCGAAAAGGTAGGGGGTACTCAGGAAAGGGTGGAACACTGCTTCGGCAAAACACATCAGCAACAAGTGTTGCCTCCACTCCCCTCTGGTCTAACCCTATCCCTCCTCTCCTCCCATCCTCTTCATACCCCTTCCTTACCTCCTACGCCGCCTCTCCTCTTCCCACCACTCTTCGTTCCCTCCTCTCGCCCCCCATCCCTCTTCCTGCTCCTCCTCCTCCTCCTCCTCCTCCCCCCCTCTTCTCCGCATTTCTCTTACCCCTTCCTTTTCTTCAGTCTTCTCTCCGCTCGTTCCCTCGTCCACCCGCCGTTAAAACAACTTCTAGCAAGTGCTAATTTACACCAGTGCCAACGCGCAGTGCGAACCACGGCTGTGCTCACGCACAACGCTAACGCACAGTGACAAACACAACACGGCATCGTTACACAACCCAAGAGGATGAAAATGATAATCACACAAAGCACAAGAATGAGGAAGAGGGATCGACACGCAGAAGGAGCAAGATGACGAGGAGAAGGATGATCAATTGGAGCAGTTTGAAACAGGATGAACTACATAAGCAGGATTACCATGATGTCCAGGAGGCGCAGGAGGAAGAAGAAGAAGAGCAGATGCACGAGGAGGCGGAGTATGAGGAAGAGACGCTGAACAAGGAGCGAGATGAGCAGGGGGAACAGGAAAACAATGTGCGGGAGGAGGAGATAAACGAGGAGGCTAAGTACGTTGAGGATGATGACGAGAGGAAGGAGGAGCAGCACGAGCAGGAGCAGCAGGAAGATAGGGCGCAAGAGGAGGAATGAAAGAGGAGGAGCATGACTAGAACACGAGTCCGAACCCGAGGCTTGGAACGTCGGACACCGAAGCCGAGGCGATCCCGGAGGACCCCTTGGTTGCGGATTGGAAAGCAGGTCGACTGGGCCCCCAAGGACGCCGACTCGGAACGGCGAGCAGCCGAGCCGAACCGCGCAGGAGACGAGCAGCGGGAGGACGCCAGGGGGGGGCCCAACGCCTCAGAGCCCCAACCAGGGGCAAAGGCTGTCAGGCCCACAGAGGTGCCCACTGAGCTTGTGTCTGTTCCCGGATTTAGCGCGCCAGCAGGGCGCCGACAAAACGCCAGCCACCGGTATCCCAGAAGAAATAGGCAACTGCTAGTCTCGATTCTATAAATAAGCACAGTGGTGGGCACTTCTGTACAGTTCAAGGCGGATCGGGTACAAAAGAAAGCGTCGTATGACAAAAATACTTTGAAAGATACTGGTGCTGAACGTGCTTTCATGCGTGCCTTCACGGACGCTGCCCGGGCAGAGTGTCAAACTTGTACGCTTGATGAAGCAGCAGCTGATGTTGAACAAGCTTTTCAGCAAGCAGCGCGCACGCTACCAGAAAAAGAAGTTCGACCGCGGCGTCCATGGACAAGCCAGCGTACTCTAGACCTTATTGAGCAGCGGAAGGCGCTTCGCCAAGCTGGGGACCTTGCATCGGACAAAAACTTTGGATTAGATGAGCCGCGAATCTGGGAAATAAGATCGCAAAATGTTGCTGGGAGAATATTTGGGTGGAGGTGGATGGGAAGCAGCACGAGTCTTACGTAAACCCAGGGATGTGAAACATGCTGCCATCAAGAAGCCAGACGGCACGCTATCAGACACTGCCGAACGGGCAGGCATCATGGCAGCCGACTTCGAGCAAGTGCAGTGGCAAGTACAACACCAGAAATAACAATTTTTGGGGGGAATCTCTCATGCACGATACAAGCGCCACTGCCGTCTTTTTGAGGCTCTGTCAACAATGTTGGGCCAGGAAGGCGATCCCAGAATCTTGGAAAACAGCGGAAGTGGTGTTACTTTTCAAGATAGGAGACGCTGCCCTTCCAGAGAACTACCGCCCTATTTCTTTGCTTTCAGTTGGATGCAATATCCTGGCGGCACTCATACCTCAGAGGTTGCTTCATGAAGGTCCGAAGAACGCATGCGTAACTCACGATACGGTTTTTGGCCTAGGCGCGGCACCGCAGACGCCCTCATGCTTGTCAGACGCATGATGGATGCCGCACACATCAATAGCAGTGGGGGCATATGGGTACTAATGCTGGTACCTTTGACATAATCAAGCTGGAAGTCATGTGCAAAGCCCTACAACGATTTGACCTAATTACCCTGCGACATCGTGGACATGATACGCTCCATCTACGCAGCTCGCTCCTTCACCATCCTGGACCACACTGGAACCTCTACGGAGAGGAGACAAACCGCTGGGATCGCGCAGGCGTGTCCGCTGTCTTCGTATTTGTTCATCGCAGTGCAGACGGTCATGCTGCACGTCGCGATCGATTATTTACCCCTTGTAACTGAACCTGCGTGTGTGGTTACTCGGGATATTCTGTATGCTGGCGACAGATGGTTAGTATCGCAGTGTCAAGCAAACCTGCAGGCCATGCTGAACGCAATCGTGAAAGAAGGGCGCAAGTATGGTGTTGAGCTCGACTTGGGGAAAACAATCCAAATTCAAATTACACGAATACAAAAGTAACGAGACCAGACGGCTCTGATAAAAAAGTACGAGACGCAACATAATTAGGGGGTGTGGTTTCGTGTGATGGGAAAGCAGCAGCTGAAATGTCCAGATAATGGAGGTCTTGAGCAAACTTTTCTATTCCTTGGATTCTCTATGGTTGCGGAAAGCGGATGGTGCTCGTCTGGACGCCTTCCACTGCAAGAGTCTGAGGCGTATGTTAGGCATCCCATCGGCATACATTTCCAGGGTGGGTAATGCAAGCGTGTTGCAGAGGGCGTCGGCGAAGCCGCTGTCGCAAATGCTTCTTTCTAGCCAAAAGAACCTGTACAATAAAACGGCTAAGAATGGCGCAAATTCGTTCCGAAAGCGTTTTGTCGTTAACGAAAACAGGATTATTAGAGCTTGGTCCGCGCGCCGCAAGAGGGGCCGGCCCCGGCAGCAATGGGCTTCGTCAGTGCAGTCGCTTACTTGACAAGTGTAGTTTGTATACGTAACGTTGATATCCCCCCTTCCCCCTTCTCCCTCCCGCCTCCTCTCTCCTTCCTGTGCTCCAAGCTTGCGACCATTTCAACTTCTGCTACACAGTCGGGCGCTGTGGCTTCTGCCTCAGTCGTGACGCGCTCGCGCCTGTGACGCTTGTTGCTTCTGCGTCACAGTCGAGTCTCCGCGCCGTCGTCCTGATTGTGTGTGCTCGAAGAGTTGCCACTTGCGCACCCTTCTGCCCACGAGTCGTGCTGGATGCTCGGCTCAGTGGTGGTGGTAGTCTCGGCGCCTCGTCCGCACCATGCCGTACTGCGACCAGGGCAGTCGAATGACAGAGGCCGATCAAGTTGGAAGCGCTTGGCAACGCAGCGAGGAGTAAGGGGGCAACTGAACGCCCTGCAAGTCCTCCCGCAAGAAGCCCAACGCACCGAGGAGCTGCACTGCTGACGGGCGCCAACTCACGCGACACAAACGCGCGAACCCATCGAGAGACGCCGTCGCCCGCAAGGGGCGCCCTTACGAATTGCCCAACAACATGAATAGAAGCAGGCCCGCAAACTCGCACATGTACGGTGCGCGCATGCGCGCGGTAGCTCGCGCGGTAGCTCGCGCGGTAACTCGTGAGTTCAACAAGTGTGAATGGAGGGTGCTCGCATGCCCTCGGGTGGACGCCTGAGAGGTCGAGGGCACGGCCAATGACACCCCCAGACGAGCTTGGACCGAGCGGCTGATGTTCCAGAAAACGGCCACTCCCGCTCCACCCGGAGGAGAGGCGAAGGAAAGACGCAGCAGAAATCGGGTAGCCAACGTGGCGGCGAGGTGGGCTGCAGGGGGGCGCAGAGCCCCCTGGGATGAGTGCAGCTCACCAGTCGTGCTCCACGACGGCCTCGGCGTTACCCCAATAGTAGCAGCAGCACGAGGTCTGGCGCACCGGGGCCTCCCAAGAAACGCCGTGCGCCACGCCTCGAGCGAGGGCCTGGTGCCCGACACGGCGCAGTCGGAGACCACCATGCGGTCGAAGTTCCCCCCGGCACCAGGCCACCAGCGGGACCCCCGCCGCCCCACGGCGCCGCCGGCCAACGAGATCGCCGAAGAGCCGAAGAGGCGGTCGCAAAGGCCATCCACAGCTTCTTGAAGGGCGTCGCGCCAGGTCCATCCGGGCATCGTCCCGACTTCTACAACCAGATTGCGGGCGAGAAGGGGGGCAGGCCAGTCGCCGCCTTCTACAACCATATTGCGCGATCCTCGCCGCAGTGTGCAATATGCTATCAGATGGTGGGGACCCTGGGCAGTTGAGGCCGTTTCTGGGCGAAACCTGGGGCACGGCCCCCCGGAAGACCGCGAAGGACGGCACAGCAAGCGCACGACCGGCATGCCCAAGCGAGGCCATTCGGAGAGTCGACGGAAAGGCCTTGTTAGCGACAGAGATTTACGAGATCATCTCGAACCTCTGCGCCTGGCGGTCGTCGTGCGCGCTGGCGTCGAGGCCATGCCGCACTTGGCCCGAGAGCAAGCAAGACTTCGCGCACGACCTGGATCGGGTGTTGGTCAACCGCGACCAGGCGAATGCGCACAACGAGGTGGACCGACACAAGCTCCTGACCCGGATGCGCGTCGAGTTCATCTACCCCACGGACGTCCCCACGATGATCTTCTACCGAAGTCGTATCATCGACAGCGAAAGCGGTGGGCAGCAAGGATGCCCAGTGACTGGCGCCTGCCAGGCGATGGTGCAGAGGATGCTGGTCGAGTCTCTGGGGCTCGTGCTAGGTCCGACGAGCACAGCAGTCAAGCAGCCCGTCCTCGAGCCTCCTGCGCGTCTGGAGATGGCCCCCGGCTTCGCTGACGACGCCCTCGTCGCAGGCCCGTCCA